GGCTCGGTGGCTCGGCGTGGCGTGGCTCGAATATCGCGTGTTCGGAACTTAGTTCTGAGACTGTTCTATGAGTCTTTGAATATTAACATTGCTATAAGGGGAGATGGATTTATTTAAAATTAGACCTTTCTCTGTGTTTCTACAGGAAACAAATGTTGAGCACCAGTGTGTTTTTAGTAAAGTAAACGAAAATTGTTGAGCAAAGGGCAGGGGGAGAGAGAGAGAGAATACGCAACAATAAATGGAGACGGTATCAACGTCCTTAACATATTGCAACAGAAAAAAGGTACACAAATATATCACTGGTATGCATAGAGTTATTTAAGAAAAACGCATTGGAACCATTTTGTGTTAACATTCGTCTTCGCATGCCTGTCTAATGTGCTGTTTGGTAAAGCGCGGCTTTCAGGTTTTACCTTTCCTTTTTAAATCAAAACGGTTCTAAATGAAATATTTTAAAATGAAATGCATTTATTTATAAAAGCCCACAAAATGAAGCCACATCACACAGTAATCATACGAAGTCTGTTAAATTTCGGTTTGAAAAGTCTTTTGAGAAAAGCATGTTATCATCCCTAAATCTGACCAATAAAATCTGTCCCTTCACAGCAAATTACATTATTATCTCCAATATTCCCACTTTAAGCCATTTAAGCAATTTTATCGGGCATTTCTATGATTGTGTTTCATTAGATTTAATAAAACAGCTTTTTTTTTCACTTAAAAGCAAAATGAATCCGCCATAGTGTCGCCGAGTGCTACATGTAAAGGAATCTATAAAGATAGAGGCAGGTTAGGGATCTCCCCAGTCTAGCTACAAGGATTATCCACTCTGCAGTTCCATACAAGATTAGTTTGCTCTAAGTCCAATTAATCGGTCCAGTTCTTCGCCATCGTGTCCTGGTGGGTGTTGCGAGGTCAGTTCCGGGGTCAGTGCCCTCCTTACTCCCAGGAATATGTGACGCCTTTGCCTGTGAAATAATACCATTTAGAGTGGTTGGTAAAGTACATGGAAGATAATGGCACCAACATTTGCTGTTGTTTTGAATATAAATAAAGCGATATCTTTTCTAAACAAGAATTATATGGATAAGCGCCCTCCCTGTGTAAGGCTATTTTATTATTTTGCAGAACTTCTGAAGTATACATTCAACGTAACATTTAATGTAACAAAAACATTTTTTGCCTACAGTTACACTATTGATAAAAGCATGCTCTTCAAATCTATTTTGAAAATTTGAAATATTCTTTGTGCTCAACGGAATTTTGTTTACAAAACTACTGGCGACATTTGACAGTTTGTACGGCGATTTTAATTCGCTTTGTCGGACACCTGCCTCATTTCTGACAGCTGAGGACATGTCTGAAGGTCATTTCATAAGCTTACCTCTTTCAGCGGTGAAGCCCCCCTCCATTCTGTATTCACACTGTCTTCCGGTGTATGGCCCATAACACTGGCACGTGGCAAAACTATCCCACCGACGAACGCAGCTGCCACCATTGTAACAGGTCAAGTAGCGACATGGGTCTAATATGATGAGAAAAGAAACACGAGTGATTTTTACGAAGAGTGTCTTGTTTTACTTTAATAGGAACATGGAAGTATATCATTTAGACATAATTTTCCGAAAGAACAAGCGCACACACACGTGTAGTAAAACACCGCATAAAAATCGCTGACAAATCACAAAAACGAACACAAACATATTGACCGTGATTGAATGACAGAAGACTATCTTAAGACAAGTAAGAATTTCAATTACAAGACTAATGATGAATAATGATGGCAAAAGGTTGGTTGCTTCTAAAGCGACCATTAAACATAATTTTACCCATGTGCATGAGATCCATCATCAAATGACGTCATCGTTTAAAACATTTTCTCTCTCTAGAAACGATTTACTGTTTTACAGACCAGACAGTAAATAATCTATTTAATTTAGCCACACCTGAATATGATTCGCACTTCTGTCCTGAGTAATATCTCGGGCACATACAGTAGTAGTACGGGGGATAGTTGACGTTCCTGCACGTCCCTCCATTCATACACGGGTTCACTGTACACTCTCCTAGCAACGAATATAATAAGTCTTCATTTACGTAAACAGAGCATTCGTTTTCATATGCATTCATATTTTACGTTGATTTGTTCGTTTAAAATAAATGTAAGTGACTAATGCATGCGTTTTATAAGCCAGAATGGATATGTTTTGTTCATATATGGAAAACTAGCTATCTACCAACGGCAACACTTTTGACAAAATATTTTATGGTTAAATGTGTTTCCCTTTGATAAAAATTTACAAGACTCTTTCATAAAGAATTCTAATCGGTTGAGTTTGAAATAAATATCTGTTTCAGGGAATCCATTATCCTGTGCACACCGGGCATAGAAGTTACCATGACGATCGTTTCATATTACCTATGTATTCACAGTTCCTTCCTGACGTTTTTGGTGGGCAGTAGCAATGGTAGAATCCATAGCCGTAATCCACACAAGTACCTCCATTACTACAAGGACCGTACCGGCATGACGCCTGTTGGGTTGCTATGGTGACAGTAAAAAACATATGAAATGACATACATCATCCGTTACTTAAGCAAGTCCACTGCTGCATGTACTATTATTGTGCAAAAACCTTTCACATAAAAACTTGTCTTACAGTGAACGTTTTGATGGCTAAAACAGGCACGCGCTAAGTAAAGTAATTAGGCCTAACCCAGAAATGCAACGTACCCGAAGCTTGAAATAAACATACAACCTTTCATTGCTAGATTATATACATTTGAAAATGAGCAATGTGCATTGAGTAAACCCTTACTCATTTCATAGCCCCATGGTTTCCTTGTGGTCAAAGTGCCGCCTGCACTGCACGAGACACTGGCGTCTTCCTGGTGACCGCAGTTATGACGCCCCCAACCCGCGTGACTACAGGAAGTGACGTCATGTTCATATCCTCTGCAGCGGAGATCATCCAGCCATATTCTACCGTAGCCCTGTCCAAAACGACCACCTTGGTAGGCGGCTACGCTAGACGTTCTTCAAAATAAATAAAAAGAGGTCAGAGGTCACCGTTAAACCTTCATGTATGACTACTAAACTGTATCAGAAACAAAAGGCAAAGCACAAATATTTCTTTAGAATACGGCATCTTTTAACGAACGATCAAGTTGGATATGGCACTTCAGGGTAGATCAGGAATACATGTACGACATGTTATACCTATTTCAACAGAAATTTGCAGCATATTGAAACATCTGCTAGTACCATTAAACCACTAGAGTTAAGAAGTCCAAACGTCGAGGGTTGATTAACCTATCATTAACAATGCGCACGTGGACTTAAGTACGTTTTTTCAACTTGGGATGTGGTCGTCCCTGGGGGTGGTGATTCTATATTGTACATCGTTCTTTCTGCTGTCTTTCCACACACCATCGGAGTTAGGAACATGAAACCTCCTGGATCGATAAACACGTCAGTGACAAAATGCGGTTGTAAAATGCGTTCGGTTGCAAAGTGCGGGTCCACCCTTCTGTTAATGAGGCAGGATATAGAATTTTTTTAGTTGGTCTCACCACTTACCCGTAACCTAGCATTCTGCAAATAACACGAGCGTCGTTAACATCAAAGTTGTCGTCACAGATTGTACCCCATTCTCCATTATGGTAAACTTCTACGCGTCCCTCGTAAGGTGTTTTACCCCCGACAAGGCGAATGCCTAAACATATATATACAAATGTTTATTACTGAACTGAGTAATAATCAATAAATATTAAGAAAAAACTTCATAAAATATTTTACCTTAGTGCTACAAATATTACAGATTGCACTGTGCACTGGTAACCACCAATATCCATTACTAAACAATTCCTCTCTTTCAAATAATTAATGATATTGGAATAAATACTTTGGCATGAATTTCGTTCAATAAACAACCGTTTGTCTAAGACACAACTCATCTCGTGGCCTTTAATTTTACATGGAACAGAAACTTGGGATGAACGTATGCTTAAGTTACCACCACAGTGAAGAGAAAACAGGTCTCTCCGCTTAACGTTAAAATTAACACGGGCCAGACATAATGAAAGATGGATAATAATATGTAAAACTTGAGTTAAAACAGACCAACCTTGATACCAGCTCTGTGTTGTAGCATATTGTGGCCACCCTGGAATAAAGTTGATCAGAACTGAAATTGGGTCATTGGCACATCTTTTAAACATGAATGCGTCCATACATTGACCTGGGCTTACGGTTATGGTGGGTTTACCAAGAATCGTTATTTATATTCATGAACCAGAATGGAAGAGGCTTTGTCAAATATCAAAATACCCAAGCAGAGAGAGAGAAAGAGAGAGAGAGAGAGAGAGAGAGAACGAGAGAGAGAAAGACGAGGGAGACGCCATTCACCTATGTAGCTCTCACAGTATTTCCCTGATGTCCCAGTGGGGCACTGGCAGTAGAACCTGTACCTGTTATAGTAAGTGTTCCTGGTGGACCAACACGTGCCTCCATTGTAACACGGGGAACTTGAGCAGGGATCTGAGTGAGAATGTGTGGAGAATTACATTTATGACCTCAACATTTTTGCGAAAGGTTAAAAGACATATTGAAATCATTTGTACTTCATACACCATGAATATACATGCTTTTTATGTACATGTTGCAACACCAAAATATTTGCAATTGCTTAAACCTTCATTCATAAAAAATACCTGAAATACCTTATGAAATCACTTAATATATCCAGTTACTGAACTACGAGGAGATATAACCCATAAATTAAAGGGAAAAGGCGTAACTTTTACCTTAAAATGTTATTCATAATGAGTCTTAACGTTTATGCTTACTGGTTTTAACCAGTTTTAATTAAAATTATCAAAATGAAGTAAGGCACAATGTATCAGATTTAAGCTAAAGAACATCTAACAATCCATTCAGAATAGAAGATCTGACGATTTTCTGATCCACACGCGCCATTACACGGATTAAATCACAACTCCGAGGTCTAATCTCTAGACCCCTGCAAGGACGGCGTGTGTGGAAGCGGAGAGACTATCAGCGGATTAGTAGGCTATTCTTTCATGTAGGGTCCACCATATTTGATCCGTGGATCAGAGGATCCTCGGGTCTTCTTTTCTGAATGGCCTCTTAGGTCCCATTCAGAATAGAGAACTAATGGCCCAGTCACAATGTGATCTGTCGGGGATTAGTTTTGGCCGGGGGTCGTCGTAGAAAATAAAGAATCCTTGAACAATCCTAGCAATAGTCCTAATAAAAGTGGAGCAGTCACATTGTCTGAGATTTTTTCAAGGATTTTGACCCGGTTTTGTCGAAAAATCGTGGGATTAGCCTCCTTTCGCCTCCGATTGCATCGGAGGCGATCGGAGACGATATCTGCGAGCGTCTTTTCTTGTAATTATTTTCCCCCTGGGTATATGTGGGGGAAAAGGAAAAAGGGAAAAGGAAAAGTCTCAGATTAATCGGAGGGCATCGTAGGTCATCGGAGATTGTGTCTGGGATGCCCAAAATGGGTGAAAAATCTTGCGAGCAATCTTAAAATTTTGAGTTCAAAGTTGGGGACCGCGACGGGTGTGGCGATGTCTAAAAAATCTGCGACAACCCGCAGGCGTCCGGAGAGCGCCTCCGACGGGTGCAAAATCGTGAGATCTGTCTCAAGATTTTGTTCAAATTTCCCGGGTTTTACCCATCCTCGACGCATCGCAACTGATTTGTGACTGGCCACTAACTAATAGGTCAAATATGGCGACCTACTACAAAGCTTGCCGCCTAATCCGCTAATACACACTGAATAGATATCCCGTGAGGAAGTATTCAAGTGGGTCGGCCATATTTGACCCTCGGACTACTTATTCCCCTATTCTGAATGGGCTATTAAAGAGGGACTTAATAGTAACCGTTGGGGCAGTAGTGGCTGGGTCTCTGGGTGGTCATCCCCCAGTACGGCCATCTCTGAGAAGTCCGGTGCCAGTAAGGACTATCCGTGGTGTTCCATCTGCCGGAAGATGTCGCATTGGCACTTGCGTTCACGTCACAAGAAACGCTGGCGTCCTCGTGATGAGCGCAATTATGGCGACCCCATTCAGCCCCCGGACAGTGGACCAAGCTGTTCTCGTGCCCGGTGCAGTTCAGGTCGTCCAGCCAGATAGGGCCAGATCCTGGACCAAACCTGGCGTTTTGGTAGGCCTGGACCTCCCACTCTCTGAAACCAAATAAAGATACCTGAATATGGCCATGACTTCTTTGAGCTAAAGCAATTTTATTTATATAGCCTGTTTAAAAAAATTTACATCTTTTTATTTAGCCATATCGATAATTTATACACGTAGATGAACACGTTCAAGAAACAAAGTTGGTTATTTAGGGTTACAAACCTATATCCCATCATGCCACAAATTGCGCGCGCATCACTGTAGCCAAAGTTGTCGTCACACACTGTCCCCCACTGGCCCTGGTAATACACCTCAACTCTACCCTCCGCAGGATGGCGCCCCTCTACAAGACGGATCCACGGTTCCTTGGTTTCCTCTGAAACACGCATCTTGTTTGAAATGATTAAACAGTTCAGGGAGGATTTTTGTTGTTAAGGGATTCAGATTTTGACTTACCGTGTGCGTGAACAATAAATCTATGCGCCAAAAGATACAAATCAGCGAAAAAGGAGGACAAAAAAAAAAAAAAAATTGGCAAAGAGAAATGAAGATATATGGTATAAATATGGTAAATGTTTTGACTTACCACAACGAGAAATTGTCACATCATCTATGGCTATGTCACCCGTATATGACGAGCCCCTTGTGGCTTCGAAGATCACATTAAATGGCCCCTGGCTTTTCAACCGAACGCTTGCCTCGTTCCATCTAAATGGGGTCGTTTATGATAATTAAACGTATATTAAGAAGTCTATTCAATTCGATACATTGATAAATCTTTTGCTTTAATTGCAAAAAAAAAAAAAAAAAAAAAAAAAAAAAAAAAAAATGTTATGCAGTCACAAAGGTGTCACACGAGAAAAATGATTAACGTTTTAGTCATGAAAAGGAAGGGAAATATACAAAAACTGAATTCTGTATTTTTTAACATTTTGTTTTTCTCTGTTTTTCATAAAGTGTCACTTGCAATCACCGAATATATTTCCACTTCTCAAACGTGGGTCATGTATCTTACATGTAGCTCACCACTTAGCAGTTGTTATTACCATTTAAACATTCACAATATATTTTAGCATTTTCCGGACAATCTCATTTTCCGTTTACCCGTTATATTGGTTTCCCCGTAACATCCATATTGTCTCCTCACTGGAACTTCCCGATCGTTTGACTTTCACAACGAGGGCTCCAATAGTTTGCCCATACATATGGTACCTGATAAAAAGTAAAAAGTAGAAACAATCACGTGCTAAGAAATAATCAATGAATTACACTGTCACGCGAGGCAATATTCCTAAAGTTTATACAAATTTGTACAAATCTTTCTTAAACGTTTTCCAAAATGAAATTACGACGAAAATATGCTAAAGGGATAACAACTCTTTGTATGGCTTCATATTTCACAAGTACATTGTAAACAACTAATAAAATACAATTAATTCTATTTTACCACTAAAACGGCTCTCCGCGATTATCCTGGAATCAGATCACGTGACCTCCATAGATGGCTATATCTACGTAATAATTTCTTAAAGGGCAACTCCCTGAGATTTTCATGTTCCCAGCCGCAAAAATGGATTTTCCCCAAAATGGATTTTCTTGCAAGCACAAATCATTTATCTATTCCTCTTGAATGAAATTGTAAAGGTTGATTTAGTTTCAAATGACGGCCAATCACTATTACTGGCAACCAACTTCCTAAACTTCGATGAAAACATAAACATCAGGCAGGCTCCAGAAAAAATATGTAAGGGGTAAAACTGTTTTTGAAGTGCATGTAAGTGCATAAGAAGCTGTGGATGGCAAAAATAAGCATTTGGGGATTTTTTTAAACCCATAAGGTGTAAGTTTAAGAGGTTATTGCAAAAAATAAATAAATAAATAAAAATTAAAATTAAAGAAAAAACCCCAAAAAACAAAAAACAAAACAAAAAAAAAAAAAAAAAAAAAAATTGACTAACTTTGAATATTGAAACGGATTATATAGCCATGGGTAGGTATAGAAATTTTGTCGTTTACCCCCAGGGATTTTTTTTTTCCAAAATGAACAGTTTTTTTGATATACTGTAAACATTTCTATGAGATATGCGTTTTTTTCCTTAAAAAGAGACATTTTACATCTACCAGAAGTTGAGGCACACCACGCCCGAGGAGGGCTGGTAGGTAGGGCTGATCAGCCTGGCACGTGCTCCGCTGTAGGTATTGGATGCTTCGATGTACATGTAATATCCTATAACGAAAACCAGCACAGATATTTAGCTATCTGGTGATAACTGAACCAGATTTCACTCTGGTGCCCCGCTTTACTTTTTCTTCCATGTGTAATGCGCAAAATAAGCATTTTATATATAGCAATTGCCATTGACATTTTGGAACACGTCTTGACCCTATATACTGTATACATTTTTCTCTTTTATTACTTTTGCAATGATAGGTTTCTACTAACAGCAACATTCGCTCACAATAAAGCCGCTGCGCACAGCAGCCTACCTCCGCTTCCAGTGGTGTGATCATACGACGGCCCAGTGTTATAAGAGGAAGTTCTACCGCGATATCTCCTCCAATCAAAAGAGTCAGAAGAATCCTGGGTAAAGCCGCACAGGCCCTGCTCAAATGTGCACGTGTCTATAAAATAGAACGGATAAGAAAATGGCGAGGCTCAGCTGACAACAAAGCGAACAATCTTTTTTCTTAATACACTCATTGCTTCACTTGCGTTCTTTTCACTTTTAATGAAATTTTCAGTCTCTATCTCTGATTGTATTCATGTTTTGTTTTCCTTGTTAAAAATCGTATACACGACGTTTTCCTTCGTTATTAAATCTTTATCTTAAAAGTAATCATTAGTAATGAAAATAATACAGTGACTTATACATAACAATTATAAATCTATAAATAGATATTTTCAGCTTTTGCCAAATAATTATCATTTATAATCCAACCACCAAGCTAATGCACGTTTTTGCTCAATACAGCAAACGTGATGGTAGTTCTTGGGATGTCATCTTGATTAAAATGTACAGGTAGCACATTATTTTAAGTAAAGTAAACAATCATGTTTTCCCTGTATTTAACAATACAGATTACGAGTCTGAAATCATCAAACATCACAAAACATCGCAAGATTTTTTTAAAGTAAAATTAACATTGTGTGCCACTTACCATTGTCCCAGCTGGAAACATTACCATGTGGCCCGTAACCAGCGGTGGTATAATAGTATCCTTATTAAGAATAAAATGATATAGTTTTGGACCTACTGAGAAGCATATACTTGGCAAACTTCAGAACCGACAGATGTGATCGAACCGATTTATAGGAAAATAATACACTCAAAATCAATTTCAACGTAAGTTCACATGAGGTAGCTAGTTCTAATAATTCATTTTGCATTACATATGGAATTATGTCCACTTTCATAACATGAAAGTTGTTTATCGATAAATGGTACAGTCAGCTATATAAAAGCAATATCTCTAATTTCCGAAAAAGTCCATTATTTTTGCAAGAGTGTTTTGGTATATTAGTATCATTACTTCTTAAAGTATTTCTTTGAAACGAGAGAGATGTTTATTTTATAAAATCATTATGCCAGGTGTCATACAGTGGTCGGAATAA